TTCCCTGGAGCTGCTGTAACAAATTACTATTAATTGGGTAGCTTAAACAACAGAATTTATTGTCAACAGTTTTGGAGTCTAGAAGTCTGAGATCAGTTTGTCAGAAAGGTTGATTTCTTCTGAGGGCTGTGAGGGAAAATTTATTTCCTCTCTCTCCTCTAGATTTTGGCGGTTTGCTGGCAATCTTTTGTGCACCTTGGCCTTTGCTGCATCACCCTGATCTTTCCCTTCATCTTCACATGGAGTTCTTCTTGTATATTTGTCTCAGTACCCAAATTTTGCTGTTTTTATAAAGACATTAATCATATTGATTTAGGACCCATCCTAATGACCTCATTTTAATGTGATTATATTAATATGACCTTATATCCAAATAAGGTCATATTTGAGGTACTGGAGATTATAGCTCGCCAACATATCTTTGGGGGAAGATACAAATCAACCTCTAACATTAGACTCATTGGATTTATAGATTCATGTCTTTCTTTAAATTTGAGACATTTTCTGCCATTTTTAAAAGTAATTTTTTGCCCCCTTTTCTTTCTCCTCCTCCTGTGACTTCCATCATGTCTATGTTGGTTCACTTGAGGTCCCTTAGGTTCTGTTCACTTCCCTCCGTTCTTGCTTCTCAGACTTGATATTTAAATTTTCTTATCTTCAGGTTCACTGATTATTTTTCTTCCTTCCACTCAGTGCTGCTTTTGAACCCCTCTATTTAATTTTTTCTCCTTAGTTGTTGTACTGTTGAGCTCCAGAATTTCCTTTTTATGATTTGTATATCTTGTTGATATTCTCATTTTATTCCTATATCATTTTCCTAATTTTCTTTAGCTCTTTGGTTTTCTGTAGTCCTTTTAACATATTTAAAGACTGTTGAGTATTTTTGATTTGCGGTTTTTTTCTGGTTGCACGTGTCTCCATTTTCTTTATAAAAGATATTACAGAAAATATTGAAGTGACTTCGTTGTCTGGGGTAACCCAGGTTCGTCATCTCGTGCCAAGAGAGTTTAGGACATGGACACACACGAGGAGTTTAGGAGCCGAGGTTTAGTAGGCAGAAGAAAGAGAAAGGAGAACAGCTCTCTCTTTAGTGAGAGAGATGGGCTTCTGAAAGGGAAAGACTAGCTGGTGGTGGACGTGCCAGATTTTATTGGGAGGCTCGAAGAGGTGGTGTCTGATTTATGTAGGGCCCACAGATTGGTTCATTCAGTTATGATGTTTATATAGCACACTGGAAAGGCTGGCCACCCCACCCTAATCTTACACAAATGGGCTTTCCACTTGACTGGCACCATCTTGTCTGCTCTTACTGTACGTGTGGCTGGCAAGGAAGAGAAGGGAGGATGGAGCCGCCATTTTGAACAGGATTGGCACAACTGTCGGTATCTGTGTTTGCAGCTCGGTTTTACAGGCTACTCTTTGTTAGAAGATGACTTAGGGGCTGCTCTTCATTAAAAAGGAAATCCTTGCCGAGAACTCCTTCCTATACTCTCACTAAGTAATTTCTTTCTTTTTTTTTGACATGAAATCTCACTCTGTCACCCAGGCTGGAGTGCAGTGGCCTGATCTTTGCTCACTGCAACCTCCACCTCTCAGGTTTAAGCAATTCTCCTACCTCAGCCTCCCAAGTAGCTGGATTACATGTGTGTGCCACCACACGTGGCTTATTTTGTATTTTTAGTAGAGGTGCGGTTTCACCAAGTTGGCCAGGCTGGTCTCGAATTCCTGAACTCAGGTGATCTGCCTGCCTCAGCCTCCCAAAGTGATGGGATTTTAGATGAGAGCCAGTGCACCTGGCTTCAGTAATTTCTTTTTAACTCCTATATCTGTATGAAATGAAACCTAAAGGATCATGAATATAAAAGGAAATGACAGAGGTTCCTCATGCGGTGACACAGAAACTCCTGGTATCAGTCAGTACCTGCAAGCCCTGTTTGGTCCCGTTTCAGATTACTGCTTACTTCAGGAATCCTTGATACTTTGTGTATATCTTTACAGTTAGTTTCATACTTTCATATGTTTTCATGTTAATGTCCTTTCATTTTAACTTGAAGAACTCGTAGAATTTCTTGTAAGGCAGGTAATAGTGGTGATGAACACCCATAGCTCTTGTTTGGGATTAAGAGAGTTGTTTTAAAGGTTGTAGTAGTTCATTTGTTTTGGTACTTTTCCAAACTTTTTTCAAAGACCATTCCTTGTCATGTGTGATCACTAAAGTCTCTTGTTTCTTTGGCTTGTGCTCAGCTAATGATTGACAGAGTTCCTTGAATGTCAGGAGCTGAAGCAAACGAGACACTGGGAGAAAGAGAAAGGTACCATCTTTCCTAGACTTTGCAGATTAGCTCTTTGGTGGGACACTTCACCATTAAGATAGGCTGAGGTTAGGTATCAGCCTGAGATCAAAGTTTAAGGTCTTTTCATTTCTTTTATGAGCATGCATCTTGTCAGGGCAGACGTGGCTTTCTAATTCTACCATATATGTGACTGCTTTTGAATGTCCTAATTTCATAAAGATTCTCACCCCAGATTCTCCTCCTGGCCTTAGATGGTCTATTGTATTTTTCCATTCATAAGCTTTTCTTCCAAGCAGCTGGGCTCGTAGTCCCCTTTGCCACTTTTACAGGTCATCCCTGCAATTCTTTCTGCCTGTTTTTCAAGTTATATGAAACAAAAACTAGCTCTTTGCATTAGTCTTTCCTGTATCTCCCAGACTTAGGATACATATGCACAGTAATTTGCATATAAGTTCTGCTCTGCACCATACTTTGCATATAAACTCTGGTTCAAGGGAGGGAACTGAGAACTGGACTGCCACTGCTTAAGACCAGGAGCATTGTCATTCTGGGGGAGAGGGTAGGGTGAAGGCGAGTAAAAATGCCACAAAACTTTCCTACCATTTAGAAAACTGCTTTTACTTGATTAGGCCTCTTGGTTACTGTAAACTTTGGATTGCTTTCTAGAGATCTTATCTAATAAAGTTGCTTCAGACACTTCCTCATTTTATCAACATTTCTGTGTTGGATCAAGAACCTGAAGCTTCCTAATCTGCTATTTTGTTGGTGTCATTCCTCTGCTGAATTTTTAAATGTTCATTCTGGCTTACCTGTTAATGGATGAATTTGCATAGTATCTACTTAAAAATGAAAGTTAAAAGTAGTTTTAAAGTAATTTAAATGAAATAAGATAGGAATTCAGAAAATTTTCACTTGCATTATTCACAAGAGAAAAAACTCATTTTTCCCATGGAGATGGATTTCAAAATATTTTTTAACATTAAGAATTGGTATTCGGGCCGGGCACGGTGGCTCAAGCCTGTAATCCCAGCACTTTGGGAGGCCGAGGCAGGTGGATCACGAGGTCAAGAGATCGAGACCATCCTAGTCAACATGGTGAAACCCCGTCTCTACTAAAAATACAAAAAATTAGCTGGGCATGGTGGCACGTGCCTGTAATCTCAGCTACTCAGGAGGCTGAGGCAGGAGAATTGCCTGAACCCAGGAGGCGGAGGTTGCGGTGAGCCAAGATCGCGCCATTGCACTCCAACCTGGGTAACATGAGTGAAACTCCGTCTCAAAAAAAAAAAAAAAAAAAAGAATTGGTATTCGGAGAAATAAAGTATAATCCTTGATTCTTTTTCTTTAGTAGCATAGGAAACTTTAGAAACTATTTTTAAAAATTATACCAGATGGCACCATTTAATAAGAGAAAGCTCTGTGTTACTAAAGAATGCAATCATTACATAAACCCTACTGAATTATTATTGATTTAAGGAAGCATTATCAGCTCACATTAAGATGGATGGCTGATTAGAAACTGGATATTCATATAATGCCAAAGTAACACCACATAAATTCTGAAGACTTGGTTACTACAAGGGCATAAACAGAACTGCACATTGAGAAGGGGTCAGGATCATCACTACACAATCAATCGATGAATTTATCATATTAATAGTCATTAAGTACTAGAGCTTGAAGTGTTGCAACCTGGGTAGGAAAAAAACACCTATGACAGCCTACCAAAAAGATTTGCCTTGGATCCATCAAACCCTTAGTAATAACTCTCAGCCTTTGGAAACTGCAGTAGCTAGACCTTACTCTATGGAGAAATAAGCTAAATAACAGCATGAGGATATAACCACATAAATCCATAAGATGTGGGGCATTCTGCAGAGAAATAAGCTGGTTATCTTCAGTAACACATGTTCATTAAAAGTAGAGGACTGGGCTGGGCACAGTGGCTCACACCTGTAATCTCAGCACTCTGGGAGGCTGAAGTGGGCAGATCACCTGAGGTTGGGAGTTAAAGACCAGCTTGACCAACATGGAGAAACCCTATATCTACTAAAAATACAAAATTAGCCAGGCTTAGTGGCGCATGCCTGTAATTCCAGCTACTTGGGAGGCTGAGGCAGGATAATTGCTTGAACCCAGGAGGAGGAGGTTGCAGTGAGCCTAGATCATACCATTGCACTCCAGCCTGGGCAACAAGAGTGAAACTCTGTCAAAAAAAAAAAAAAATGTAGAGGATTGTACTAGATTATAAAAGAGTTATGGAGATAACAATCAGAAGCAATATATAATCTTGGTTTGGATATGGATTTGGATCAATTAAGGCAAACTAAATGCGATCTAGATATACTAGTAGGAACAGTTAGTGAAATAGAAAAGATGAGAAATGATAGAAAAATGTAAGTGATTGTATGGTAAAGTCTAGTTTTGGTAAAAAATATACAGGGAGTGTGTGTATATGTATAGAAAAATCTTGAGAATATACACTAAGTTATCTGGTAGAATATATGTGACTTTATTTTTATGTCAATAAAAATTTTCTATACTGGTTCTGCAACAAAATTTTGTAAAATAAATTACGTAACAGTTGATTTATATTCAAGTCAGGTTTTAATGTTTCATAATTTTAATGACAGTGCTTGTAATTCATTCAACACTTACATTTTAAGTTTCTGTGAAATGATAGTGCTTTATCCCTTTATTTGCTAGCTAGAGGCTGTGGATTTTTTACCTCTATTGAAGACAATCGAGGATTTCTATAAAAATGAAGATGGAGAAAATCTGGAAATCCTCTGTCCAGTTCAAGATCAAGCCTGTGTAGCTAAATTTGAAGATGGAATTTGGTACCGAGCAAAAGTTATCGGTAGGAGAATGCTAGCTGTTTCTACAGGGAAATGTTATACTTCAAAACTAATGTCATTTGAGTTGGTACCAATTCAGTCTTGGAAGTGATACTATTTGATCTTACCGTTTGCTCTGTCATCTCTCTTTAGAAAGCTAGTGATAATGCTAAAAGGTGAATCTGTCTCCTGAGATTTTGTTTTACTTGACTAGGACTTAACCATTGGGAATCTTGCTGGAAAACTAGTATAGATAGAACAAGCAACAGAAATTAATTATTCAAAAACTGGTGAACTCTAGCTTTATGTTGACTGTTTGTCCCATGCTATTTTGATTGTCAAGGTACAAATTAAAGGTAAGTCCTTTGTGTTCTGTCTGCTTCCCTTCAATTTTAATATATTCTTCTTTCCTGGAAATTATTGACCAAACTGCTAGTTTTCTTGGTTTTTTTTTTTCTACTTTTTCTATATCCTCCTTAAGTAGTTGATTCAACTTATGAAATAATGGGAAGAATAGAAAATGGTATTGAAGACAGAAGATTTATGAAAATGGAGGTATTAGCAACAAAAATAGTAAAGTTTATTATTCTCAGCATTGGCTAAGAGAGAACATTACAGACTAAGCCTTTGTGGTTTATGAAATTAGATATACCATAACTAGTTTAACCCATTGTGTTGTTTCTTTTACATGCTTTCTAGTTTGTAGATGTGTCTTTTTTTTATTATTATTATTGAGAGGGTGAAAGTCCAGGTGCAGTGGCTCACACCTGTAATCCTAGTACTTTGGGAGGTCAAGGCAGGCTGATCACCTGAGGTCAGGAGTTTGAGACCAACCTGGTCAATATGGTGAAACCCCGTCTCTACTAAAAATAAAAATAAAAATTAGCTGGGCGTGGTGGCACTTGCCTGTAATCCCTGGGAGGCTGAGGCAGGAGAATCACTTGAACCCAGGAGGCAGGGGTTGTAGTGAGCCAAGATCGTGCCACTGCACTCCAGCCTGGGTGTCAGAGTAAGGCTCTGTCTCAAAAGAAAAAAAAAAAAAAAAAAAAATTTTTTTTTGTTTTCTCAGTTTTTCTTTTTTTTTTTTTTAGTTGGAGTTTCGCTCTTGTTGCCCAGGCTGGAATGCAATGCCGCGATCTTGATGTTGGCTCACTGCAACCTCGGCTTCCTGGGTTCAAGTGATTCTCCTGCCTCAGCCTCCTAAGTAGCTGGGATTACAGGCACGTGCCACTACACTCGGCTAATTTTTTTTGTATTTTTAGTACAGACGGGTTTTCGCTGTGTTGGTCAGGCTGGTCTTGAACTCCTGATCTCAAATAATCCGCCTGCCTCGGCCTCTGAAAGTGCTAGGATTACAGGTGTGAGCCACTGTGCCCAGCAAAATTTTTTAAAATTTAGTTTGACACTGTTTAAAATGTTTTTTCCATTATTAAGATAATGTAAGATCTTTACAAGTTACTCCTAATATATAACCAGTTCTGTTTGTGTTGAAACTATTCTTTCATCCTGAGCTTTCTATCCTTCATTTGTCACCATTGAGTTTAATTTTGTTAGTAGTTCGTGACTTGAACTAACTAAAAATTTTCAAATGTGGTTCTTATCAATGTCTTAGTCTGTTTGTGCTGCTGTAATAAAATACGACAGACTGGGTAGTTTATAAACAATAGAAATTAACTTCTCAGTTCTGGAGTCTAAAAAGTCCCAAGATCGAGGCACTGTTATATTGAGGGCTTAGTCTCTGTTTCCAAAATAATGCCTTGGTGCTGTGTCCTCTGATTCCATAAGTTCAAAAAAGAAAGGCAAACTCCCATCCCCAAGCCCTTTTTTAAGGGTACCTAATCCCATTTATGAGGGCAGAGCCCTCATGACTTATTCACCTCCCAAGTACTGCTGCAATAGAGGTTAAGTTTCAACATGAATGTTAGAGACAAAAACATTCGAACTATTGCAATGAAGATAACGCTGTATAGTTTGGTAAATATCTTTGGAGCAAACAAAGGCATTTTTCACGGCACTAAGGACTTTGCAGCTGCTTTTCAAATTAGGATGATTGGCTTGAAAATCATATCTGTTTGGTGAACAGTAAGGCCCATCTTGGAGAAGATGGAGTGTCCATGGTGCTAATTCTACTTCTTCATTTCTGTTAGCATCACTTTTGGGGTGCTAATAGAAATGTATCAGTGATTTGTTTGGCCCATTTTCCTGTGCCTTCTGTGGCCCGGTTGAACTCCACCTTGAAGATGATACTTGGTTTGGTGAATAGTAGCTTGTTTTTATCTGCCTGATTTAAAAGTTAAATATGCTGAAAAACACACTCCACTTCCCTCTTTGAAGGCAATTATTTCTCATTTTTTATGCTGTTTTGTTATTTATTGGGTTATTTCTTCTAATAATATGTAATACTTAAGTTGACACTTTAGTTTTAGATATTACCTGTTATTCTGTTAGACAAGTTTTGGATCTCCATGGCCCTTTTGTCCTCATTTCTCTCTTTTCTATAGTTGTATCACAGATTTTCATTAGATTCACATTCTGTGTAAGTAAAGACATAAAGTATACTTTGTTTAATTCTATTGTGAGTTCATAATTATGTTCACTTTTCACTTGCTTTATTTTCTTTCCATTTGTGAGCGTATTTTTAATAGTTTGAAACAATTTTCCACATGATTAGACTTCTCAAGATAAATGTTAGTTTGATCTTTTTTTTTTTTTCCAACCATGAAAACATCCTTTTTAAGATGGTCTTGCTCTGTCACATAGGCTAGAGTGCAGTGGAACATGATCATGGCTCACTGGAACCTCCACCTCCTGGGCTCAAGCAATCCTCCCACCTCAGCCCCCTGAGTAGCTGGGACTACAGGCACTTGCCACCATGCCTGGCTAATTTATTTTCTGTAGAGATGGGGTCAAACTCATGGGCTCAAACGATCCTCCTGCCTTGGCCTCCCAAAGCACTGAAATTACAGGTGTGAGCCATCACGTGTGGCCAAAAACATCCTTTATCTTCTCCAATTGGTCTGCTTGCCCTCTAGGCTTACTACACATTTTTTATTCTGGAAATTTATTTCGGTTGACCATACATGTCATTGTTCTCCAGTATTGGATCCCTTGTTTTCTGGATGCCATGTTTACCTCTTCAGTTTAATTCCATTTTCTGTGTGGAGCCATCTTCCAGTAGTTTCCTCAGAGAACATAAATGGGGAAATTTGAGACCTTCCATGTCTGACTCTGTTCTTGTGATAATGTGGATAAAACAGTAACGTTCTTTACATTACATTCCATATCCATCTATTTGTTTAAAACTAGATTTCCATTCAGAGACTTTACGAAGAGTAAGAATCTAATGGCGTTGGTAGAGTTGAGACCATCCTTCTAGTAGGGGGATTCCAGTGGAAGTGCGGAGATGTTCCCCCATCTTTTGGCCTTATAATAATACATATCTTCTCAATTATCATGGATATCTCCTACTGTAGGGCCTATGTTGTTTGAAGTCTCATTTTGAGTGAGTGCTAGTGCTGTGCCACTTGCTTCTACTTCTGCCAAGGAGCACAGAATACTGGACATTTTTCCATATTAAAATGATATAAATGGTATTAGTCTTTAACTTTGAAAACCATGTATTTTGAGTATTTTCGAATACTCACGTTAGCATGAGGTAGGTCTTTCTTTAAAACTTCTGTGTGTTTGAAACTTCCAGAGATTTCTTTAAAGTACAGAGACTAGACTGACATAGAGGTCTGTCTCTACTTGCTTTTTTGCAATATGCCCAAGTATGTTTTTTCAAAAATTCACAGATATTGTTATATGAATGAATCTTTAGTTTGATTGTTGAATCTTTTGCCTTGTTTGATAAACTATATTGACTAACAATAAACCTGTATTAAGTGCTCACTTTGTACCTTGTGCTTTTTAAATAGGCGAATCCTCCAAAAAGTCTTACAAAATTAGATTATATTGGTATACCCCTTTTACAGATGAAGTAATGAGGTTTAGGAAAAGCAACTTGCTCAGGGTAATATCTTAGAGATATTAATTAGCTTCCTTGAGGTCACATAGAATTTTAGTGTGATGGAGCTAGAGTTCTAAACTAGTTAGTCTGACTCAAAGCCTATTTATTAACTTTTATACCACCTGCCATATGATTTTGTTATCATATATTCATATCCTTCGAATATCTTAAAAATGCTAGTTTTTAATTCTTACAAGTTTGCATTATGGATGATTTCGAGGTTCACATATTTGAAATATATTTTACATTTTAAAAAATTAGTAGTTAAATTTGTATATTGAACCTAAAAGTATTCTAATCTAGTTGACTATAAACCAATCTAAATTTTTCTAGATAATTCTATTTGCTTTCCAGGTTTGTAATTTCTGATTTCATAATTTTTCAAGGATTGCCTGGACATCGGGAAGTTGAAGTTAAATATGTGGACTTCGGTAATACTGCAAAAATAACAATTAAAGACATCCGTAAAATAAAAGATGAGTTTCTGAATCCCCCAGAAAAGGTAATCTACTTATTATGAATTCTAGAGCTGGAATATTAGCATACAGGAATACAGAAGTATTTTTAGAAGCTATTTTCACCATAGAAATGTTAACTACCATTTTTGTCTAGTTTCTGATACAAGGACTGTAGATAAATATTGCTATGGTTACTACTGAAGAAGTAATATGTATATCATGGTAAATAACCATATTAAAACATTAACCATGTACATTTGTGTCTTAAGTACTTGTTGACAGCTTTTAATATATCATTTTGAGATCCTATATTTGGTAAGAGTCATGTTCATGATATATCAAGGTAAAAATGCTTATCTCAGAGGTACTTTTCACTGTGATCACATTTATGCTTAAGTATGTATGTGTTTGCAATAGAGAAGCCCGGGACAATATGTAAAAAAAAAGACTCTGAACCTTGCTTATCTCTGGGGAGTGGTAGTATTCTGAAAGAAGGGTAAGAACAGGCCTTATTTTCTAATTATATACTCTCTGTTGTTTTTAAGTCATGTTTTTCATTTTAGGAAATCTGTAGTATTATTAAAAAAAAAAACTTTAAAATACAAATAAGCAGGCTTGGTGGCTTATGGCTATAATCCCAACACCTTGGGAGGCCAAGACACGTGGGTCACAAGGTCAAAAGTTCAAGACCAGACTGGCCAACGGGGTTTAGTAGAAACCCTGCCTCTACTAAAAAGATACAAAAAATTAGCTGGACATGGTGGTGCATGCCTGTAATCCCAGCTATTCGGGAGGCTGAGGCAGGAGAATCACTTGAACCCGGGAAGCGGAGGTTGCAGTGAGTCGAGATCCTTCCATTGCACTCCAGCCTGGGTGACAGGGCGAGACTCCATCTAAAAACAAAACAAAACAAAACAAAAAAACAAAACCCAAAAGAAATGAGCAAAAGGGAGAATCACTCAATCATTGTTCAATATTTTTGTTATGTATACTTCTAGATGAATCTTCTGTGTTTTCAACAGTTATAGAATCAGACTATAAATCATCCTGTACAAGTAATTAATGTATCATAAGTAACTTTAATGAACGCTTGTTATTCTAGTATGTGAATGTACAGCAGTTCATTTAGCCAAATTCTCTGCTAATTTCAATGATTTGTGTTTATAAAGTGCTTTTACAGACTCCTTCACACATCATATATTTCTAATATGTATTAAATTCAAATATAAAGATTAGTTTTGTACACACTTACATAAAACTTTAATTCCAAAAAGTAGGTAGAAATTGAATTTTTATCTTAATGGTGGAATTTTGTCTGACACAGGCAATTAAATGTAAGCTGGCCTATATTGAACCATATAAAAGGGCAATGCAGTGGTCCAAAGAAGCTAAAGAAAAATTTGAACAAAAGGCTCAAGATAAATTTATGATATGTTCAGTTATCAGTAAGTTCCATTTTTACTTGTTATGTAATCACATATAATTTTAAATAATAACATGAATAACACTTTTCAAATCTTAGAATAAATTCAGTGTGCCATCAGTAGTAGTGGTGAGAGAGATGATTTGTTGAGAATTAGGTACAATGGAATTATGTCTTTTGTGAGGTCTTAAAGTCATCAGGGCAAAAATCACAATAAAGATTAAGTTATCTTTGACATGACCGCTTGAAAGCCCTAAAGCCAGGAATTAACTTCTTTTATTTGTTTGCGTTTTTGCTAGTGCTCTGTCCTTGTCTTTGACATAGTAGATGCTAACTTTTAATTTCCAGCAAAGAGGGGAGGTGGGACATGTTTGGTAAATCGTTTTCGATTGCTGTTTTTGTCTCACTGGCTTAAGCAAATTCAACTGTGTGTTCTCAGCATATTTTGAACAAAGCTTTTCGTTTTTTGGAGCAGTTGGGCCCAAAATGTAATCTGACCACTAGCCCACAATTTTGTAACCTAACAGGTTCTGAGAATCAAAAGTTCAGTAGCAAAATTTGTTCTGAATTGACATGAGACTGTATAGTCTTTATCTCTTTTGTGGTGAATATTCATATTTTACTTCAAGAGAATGTTTGTTTGTGGGCTGCTGCCCCAGACTCTGCTGGGGGTATATATACAGTATATACCTATATATACAGTATAGGTGCCAAGCTTCTTTTCTCAATTAGAAGAATTCTGAATTCTGAAACATGCCTGCCCCAAGGGTTTTAGATAGGGGGATTGGGAATCTGGCTTGTTTTTTTGTTTTTCGAGTCAGGGTCTCATTCTGTCACCCAAGGTGGAGTACAAAGCTGTGAAGAATGGCTCCCTGCAGCTTCAACCTCCAGGGCTCAAGTGCCCCTCCTGTCTTAGCCTCCCATGTAGCTGAGACCACAGGCGTACACCACCATGGCCAGCTAATTGTTTTTTTAATTTTTTTGTAGAGATGGGATCTTACTTTGTTGCTCAGGCCAGTCTCGAACTCTTAGGCTCAAGCAATCCTCCTTCCTTGGCCTCCCAAAGTGCTGGGATTACAGGTGTTAGCCACTGTGCCTGACCAGGAATCTATTTTTTATCTGGTATTTTTTTATCAGTTCCAAAGCTGTAACACACACTGGCTGGGTTGGGTTTAATGAATATATGTGCAGGATACATGAGACCGTGTTTACTTAGCATAGACGTATAGGACTTTCAGGGGTAGTTTTTACTGTATCCATGTCTTTTATCATAAAATTATTGGACTGTCCGCTGAGGAAACCGGAGCTTAGAAATGAATTGCTCAAAGTCGTAACCTAGAAATGATAGTATATTTTTGATTATTTATTTACTTCAGAATAATAACTTGTTCTAAAGAAATAGTGTCATTTAAGAGGCATATGATTATGCAGATTGTATCCTTAGCCTATAGAATTTTTGTATCTAGTGTCTCTGAAATGGACAAATGAATTAAAGACCTCTTGGTCCTTGAACAGTCTCCACTGATTTTGAGCCAACTTTAACTTGTATAACTGTTCTCAGGTTTAGGCATTGTGTTCTGTGGGGTTTTTGCTCCTTCCTAGAATAATCTCCCATGGACAATCAATCAAGATTTCTTGGGTTTCTTCCTTGATTTCTCTTTTTTCTTTCTCACTTAATTAATACCAGTGACATCCAAACACTAGCTGTAGCGTAGTTATTAACCTAGATTATCTTATGTGTAAGGAGTGCCAGAAGGCCTTGCCCAACTACAGCTGTCTTTCCCCATTCACCTGCACAGCAGTAAAGTTGGGAGTTCAAGATCTTTAGAATAAAGTGAACTACCACAGCTGAGAACAGGAACCTGCCATTAATACATAACGCTGTTTCGTTAGAAAGGAAGGGACATTTGCTTTCTAAGGTAACATTATATTTGATTAGGAAGAGAGCAGGGAAGATGATAAAGGTATAGAACACAGAGAAAGTTGACCCTATTGGAAGGGAGAACTTTATGCATAAGAAGTATAAAACCAAAGAACTAAAGTTAAGAGATAGGAAAGTAGGGAGATCAAAGTTTATTGAGGCTCAGTGTTGCTTAGCCTTTTGTGTCTAGATAATTTATCTGGACCATTGAAAAGTAGCCAGGAATTTTTTTTTTTTTTCAACTCCTAAAAAAGCTCTTTAGGCCAGGTGTGGTGGCCGATGCCTATAATCCCAGTATTTTGTGGTAGGGGGTGGGGGGGTAAGGTGGATGGAACATCTGAGATCAGGAGTTTGAGACCAGCCTGGCCAACATGGTGAAAACCTGACTACTAAAAATACAAAAAAATAAAGCTGCATGTGGTGGCATGCAGCTGTAGTGTCAGTGGGAGGCTGAGGCAGGAGAATCATTTGAACCTCAGAGGCAGATGTTGCGGTGAGTTGAGATTGTGCCACTGCACACTCCAGCCTGAGTGACAGAGCAAGACTTTGTCTCAAAAAAAAAAAAAAAAGCAACAAACCCCCTGAAGAAAGTGGACTGCTTCTGGAGGACCCAGGAAACTCCCTCAAAACTATGAGTGCCCCTGGATGTTGATCACCACCTGCAGAGGTCTGTCCTGAAGACCCTGACTCAACGACAAATGAATGAATGCACTCTCACACCCAGTATGGTGATTTGAGTGGGCTAAAGATGGTCCACCATCCACTGCTTTCAGAGTGCGATTGCAGCTTACTGGCCATGACTCCCTGTGTCTTCTCACATTAATTCAGTATAGATTTAATAACAGAGGTTCTAAGCCAACATGCTTATGATAATTAACATGGTTAAAAGAGTGGTTTTATGAGTGATAAAAGCTTTCGGTTGGAGGGGTGCCCAGGGTAAACACCATTAATAGATAATTCCCCTTTGACCTCACCCTGAGAGGGTCATCCAACAGCACAAAGTTTACATGAGCAAACAAATGAGTGTAGGGACAAAGGAATGTGGGGTAAACAGACTTAGCTGGGGAAGCTTTATTATCCTAATCTCACTCTATGACTTAAAATTATTATTTTTTTTAATTGCATTTTAGGTTTAGGGGTACATGTGAAGAACATGTAAGATTGTTTCATAGGTACACACGTGGCAGTGTGGTTTGCTGCCTTCCTCCCCATCACCTATATCTGGCATTTCTCCCCACGTTATCCCTCCCCAACTCCCCATCCCCCGCTGTCCCTCCCCTATTTCCCCCAACATACCTGTGTGTGTGTGATGCTCCCCTCCCTGTGTCCACATGTTCTCATTGTTCAACACCTGCCTGTGAGTGAGAACATGCGGTGTTTGATTTTCTGTTCTTGTGTCAGTTTGCTGAGAATGATGGTTTCCAGGTTCATCCATGTCCCTACAAAGAACACGAACTCATCGTTTTTTTATGGCTGCGTAGTGTTCCATGATGTATGTCTTCCACATTTTCCCTGTCCATTCTATCATTGATGGGCATTTGGGTTGGTTCCAAGTTTTTACTATTTATTGTAAACAGTGCCAGAATGAACATTCATGTGCATGTGTCCTTATACTAGAATGATTTATAACCCTTTGGATATATACCCAGTAATGGGATTGCTGGGTCAAATGGAATTTCTATTTTTAGGTCCTTGAGGAATCGCCACACTGTCTTCCACAATGGTCGAACTAATTTACACTTCTACCAACAGTGTAAAAGTGTTCCTATTACTCCACATACTCTCCAGCATTTGTTGTCTCCACACTTTTTAAATGATTGCCATTCTAACTGGTGTGAAATGGTATCTCAATGTAGTTTTAATTTGCGTTTCTCTAATGACCAGTGATGATGAGCATTTTTTCATGTTTATTGGCCTCATATATGTCTTCTTTTGTGAAGTGTCTGTTCATATCCTTCACCCATTTTTCAATGGGCTTGTTTGTTTTTTTCTTATAAACCTGTTTTAGTTCTTTGTAGATTCTGGATATTAGCCCTTTGTCATATGGGTAGATTGCAAAATTTTTTTCCCATTCTGTTGGTTGCCAATTCACTCTAATGACTGTTTCTTTCGCTGTGCAGAAACTGTGGAGTTTGATTAGGTCCCATTTGCCTATTTTGGCTTTCATTGCCAATGCTTTTGGTGTTTTATTTATGAAGTCCTTCCCTGTGCCTATGTCCTGAATGGTTTTGCCTAGATTTTCTTCTAGGGTATTTATGGTGTTAGGTCTTATGTTTAAGTCTTTAATCCATCTGGAGTTAATTTTAGTGTAAGGCGTCAGGAAGGGGTCCAGTTTCTGCTTTCTGCACACGGCTAGCCAGTTTTCCCAACACCATTTATTAAACAGGGAATCCTTTCCCCATTGCTTGCTTTTGTCAGGTTTGTCAAAGATCAGATGGTTGTAGATGTGTGGCGTTGCCTCCGAGGCCTCTGTTCTGTTCCATTGGTCTGTATCTCTGTTTTGGTACCAGTACCATGCTGTATTGATTACTGTAGCCTTTTAGTATAGTTTGAAGTGAGGTAATGTGAGGCCTCCCAGTTTGTTCTTTTTGCTTAGAATTGACTTGGCTATGCGGGCACTCTTTTGGTTCCCTGTGAAATTTAAGGTAGTTTTTTCCAGTTCTGTGCAGAAGGTCATTGGTAGCTTGATGGGGATAGCGTTGAATCTGTAAATTACTTTGGGCAGTATGGCCATTTTCATGATACTGATTCTTCCTAACCAGGAGCATGGAATGTTTCTCCATCTGTTTGTGTCCTCTCCTATTTCATTGAGCAATGGTTTGTAGTTCTCCTTGAAGAGGTCCTTTACATTCTTTGTTAGTTGTATTCCTAGACATTTTATTCTCTTGGTAGCAATTTTGAATGGCAGTTCATTCTTGATTTGGCTCTCTTTAAGTCTGTTATTGGTGTATAGGAATGCTTGTGATTTTTGCACATTGATTTTGTATCCTGAGACTTTGCTGAAGTTGCTTGTCAGTTTCAGGAGATTTTGGGCTGAGACAATAGGGTCTTCTAAATATACAATCATGTCGTCTGCAAATAGAGACAATTTGACTTCCTCC